CACGAAAGATGCACCACAGACGCCGCCACAAAAACAAAACCCTTCTCTGCCCCCCCCCCAATATTATAATCTGGGTTTTGGCACCTGAACGGGTGAGGATCCGATGGGGGTTCTAATTTTGCCACAGAACACATCTGTCGCTCTCCAGCTGCATTAAATGAAATGCCGTTTTTCGGACCAGAGGGATTGTCACGCCCTCTTTAGCATGAGTTCTGGAATGGCAACTCTGAAAGAGCCACAGATGTTGTCCCTGGTGAACATTTCCAACCATGTGCAAAGTCCACAGAGAAAGATGGCAGAGAAGGATTCCGGAGGCAAATCGTCATCTTCAGTTCCTGTTGGATTTCAGCAAGGAAACTAAGCAGGTGCTGACAGCTACCCATCGGCTGCCAGAAGGGGCAGGGAGGGCGATTTTGTCCTTTCTGGTCCCTTCTGCACTTGGATCTCATCCCTGGTTTCATCAGAGTTCAACTCGCGACACAACACCTTGCATTTATCCCTGGTTATAACAGCATCCGTCTATTTCGGGACAAGTGTGGGGCGAGACTGGGGTGACCTCAGTGTAATGTGGAAACAAAAAATACCCCAAGATAATTACAGGGGTGAACTCAAGTATAGTGTAGAGTAAAATGTAAGTTTGGGGACAGGGTTGAACCAGATTTAAGGTCTAGTGCGGAAAGGACCTCTGTCTCCACACTGCAGCCTTCTGACCTGGGAATTTACTCTCCTGGGCCCAAAAGGGAACACAGGGAATTCTCTGTGCCTGTCAGGGTCTTCTGCTGATGGGTGGCTGGCTGCAACCCACTTCCCATATTCTGAGCATGTGTTTGCATATATACACGTCTGTGTTCTAATGCACACACAAAGCTTGATTTTTAAGAGATATGACAGCAGGAAACCATCTGTTTGCTTGTCCTACTGTGTAGACTGCCATGTACAGTGATAGATTTGTTTTAAAATGAAGCATTGTGATGATAAATCTATCTCCAAGAGATGCCCACTGTTTATGGGACGTTCTGTGTTTCTGGTGGCAAGCGGAGACTCCACAGGGCCCTGCCATCGTCGGAGACAAACACAACCGGTTCTTGCTGTTCTTGATCCGCTTCCCTCCCCGCTTCCTCCTGTCACCGAGGGAAAGGGATCCCTGGTAGCATCTCCACTTAGGAAAGGATCAAGCTGCCGGTGATGTGAAAGACTTCTTCTGCCTGAGACCCTGGAGAGAAGAAGAGGAGAAGAGATCGGATTCATACCCGGCCCTTCACGCCAAGTCTTAGAGCGGCTTACAAGCTCCTTTCCCTTCCCTTCCCTTCCCTTCCCTTCCCCACAACAGACACCCTGTGAGGTAGGCAGGGCTGAGAGAGCTCTGAGACAAACAGCTCTTTTCCAAGAACACGTCTGACAGGACTGTGGCTTGCGCAAGGTCATCCAGCAGCTGCGGGTGGAGGAGTGGGGAATCAAACCCGCCTCTCCCAGATCAGAGTCCACACACTTAACCATGACGCCAAATGCCGCTGCCAGTCTGAGTAGACAATACGGACCTTGATAGACCGTCTGATTCAGTAGAAGGCAGCTTCATGCGTGTTGAACCACTTCCCAACTTTTTCAAGGTCCAGTTTGTTGCAACATCTGAATGCGGGCAGACGGAAGAGTGTTTCCTCCCCAGAAACTGGGCTTCTCAACTGGGATTAAACTGGGGGTTAAAACCCAGGCTTCTGGGGAATAAACAGACTCCAGTGAGCTCCAAGCACCTGGCTTCGGATGTCCCCTCAAAGTAGATTTTCATCGAACCAGCAAGCTTGGGAAGAGGGAGAGAAGGTGCCGGACCTCAGCTCCTGCCTCAGGCCAACGGACTTCCACTTCCCAGCCTCCGTCTCTGACTGTTTGGGGTTGTATTAAAAATCGATAAAGGTGATGCTTTTCGTCGAAGTATCGCTTCGTGCCTAATTTCCCCCTCAGTGAGCGGCAGCTGAGCCCATCATTTGAAAGTAAAGTGTAAGTTGAGACTCTTGGTCTGCAAAATGTTTCTATCTGTGCCTGGAAAAACGGCACAGTCTCCCCAAGTTTCGCTTTCAGCCTTCTGCGGCTGCATTTCCGCTTCAGTTCTTCTGTCCCGGCAGCTCAAGCTTAGCGCTTCTCCCCAAAACCTATGAAAATAGCTCTTGTTTTCAATGAATGCCCCCTGTGATGTCTCACACTTGCGCGGAAGCTTCCCCAGCCGGTCTTCCCAGGAACGCTGGCTCAAAGACAGAGTCTCATTCATATGTATTGAAGAGCCTTTTCTTTTCTTCCGAGTAGAGCGCCTCAGCATTAATGTTCTTGGGGCAGATGTCGTTGGGCGCCGCTGCGAAGAAAGTTCCCGCTTCCAGAAGACTTCCCATTGAAGTGTTTCAAAGGATAACCCCGGTGGCTGAAGAGCCGGGACATTTTGTAAGATTACTTTCGGAACCAATTAAAAGTTATATAAATATGGCCGCTCACCTCAAGCTGACCAGGCTGGCTGGCTGGCATATACAGTACTTCTTGAGTGCTTTTTCTTCCACTGTGTCTGACCCACATAATGGATGGGGTTAGCCGGAAAGCAAACGGGGCTATTTTTGGAGCCATATCAGCGAGAGATTGCTATCGAAATAGTTCATCTGAGGATTCGAGCAGGCGTTAGCGGTTTGGTTTGATGCCACATCTCCTTTCTCGGCACATCGAACAGAAGCCTGACAAGTCTAGTGAGCACGAAGAACCTGCCAACATCCTGTTCTCAGGATAGGGTTGCCAACTTCCTGGGAGGGTCTGGAGATCTCCCAGAATGCCCACTCGTCTCCAGGCAACACAGTTCAGTTCCCCTAGAGGAAATGGCTGTTTTGCCTGGAGATCTCCCAGAATGCCCCCTCGTCTCCAGGCAACACAGTTCAGTCCCCCTAGAGGAAATGGCTGTTTTGGAGCGTGGCCTCTGTGGCAATATACCAGCCTGAGGACCCTCCCCGGTTGCTGTCTGTCAGTCTCTGCCTGTGAAATAGTTTGGTGTCGTGGTTAAGTGAGCGGACTCTAATCTGGGAGAACCGGGTTTGATTCCCCACTCCTCCACTTGCACCTGCTGGATGACCTTGGGCAAGCCACAGTTCTGTCGGAACTGTTAATAGAAAAAGAGCAGTTTCTGTCAAGAGCTCTCTCAGCGCCGCCTACCTCACAGGACGTCTGTTGTGGGGAGGGGAAAGGAAAGGAGTTTGTAAGCCGCTCTGAGACTCCCTTGGGTAGTGAAGGGTGGGGTATAAATCCAATCTCTTCCTCTTCTTCTTCTTCTAAATTACTACTTAATTAGATCTGATTTTATGTTTTTATCCTGTTCTCCACTGAGGAGCGTTCCTCACCCACTCTGATCTCTCTTTGATTAGATTCCGTTCCTAAGGGACCCCTGTTTGTAAGATCTCCCCTCTCCTTTCGGTCACTTCTAGGTATAAATGTGTCTCCTGCAGGTGTACACTCCCTGCATCTGATGAAGTGACTGATGTCTCACAAAACTTTGTGATGGAATAACCCATGAAGCTGCTTTATACTGAACCAGACCCTTGGTCTATCGAAGTCAGTCTTGTCTACTCAGGCAGGCAGCTTCTGTCCAGGGTCTCAGGCAGAAGTCTTTCCCATCACCTACTGTCAGATCTTTTAACTGGAGATGCCAGGGACTGAACCCAGAGCCTTCTGCATGCCAAGCAGAGGCTCTTCCACTGAGACCTTTGGTCCTTCACAGAGACTCTCCAGAGCTTCAGATGGAAGCTCTTCAGGCACATCACCTGCTACCTGATCCCTTCCACTGGAGATGCCAGGGATTGAATCTGGGGTCTTCCGCACGCCAAGCAGGTGCTCTTCCACTGAGCCGCAGCCCCTCCCCTTAACAATAAATGTTGTTAAGTTTTCCTTGTGCCAATGGACTTTTCGTTTTACTTGGTGCTTATCTGTTCTGGTCCAGCCTCTCCTGAGCAGTTCATGCCCTCCTCTCATCCTCTTCCAGTCCCAAGGGGGGAAAAAATAATTTCTAAAGGAGAGATAAGCATGGGTAATCAACAGACGAAAGCCAGGGGCTCTGTGATCTCCTCCGGCTTTTTTTTGCCTGTCTCCATGGGAGTCATTAGAACTATCAACAGTCCCGTGGCAACTTCCTGATGTTGTCAGGAGAATGCACAGTTAGTTTTCAAACTAATGCTCAAAGCATGTGTGTAGTTCTGTTTACCCCTTTAAGATTTGAAGGATGTTCAAGGTTCGTAAGACTTTCTACTAATATCTTATCGAGCATTCTGAATGTTCAGTGTTTTCACTTTCACTAAGATGTGATGTTTTATTGGTTCCGTTCCACTCATAGATAAATGGTAATGTTTGTAAGCCACTTGGGTCTACTACACCGATCACTCTCTGAATGGCCTTGCTCTTTGGACTATTATTTGAATCCCTAATGACTTTGGTTTTTTGGGGGGGAGAAATGCAGATTTGAGTATAAAAATTAAGAAGCTT